AATGAAATACTCTGCACTATATATTTGTGAGCTCTTGGCATGTCTGACATGCCAATGGCCTGGTTACTTTTTGTGTTGTCCCAAGATACTTGAGTATCTTGCTCTGACACCTGCTTACTCCATCTTGACACCACTGGTGTCTGCCACAACTCAGATACTGTGCACAGGTGCTTCTCAGCTGCCTGAAGAGGCAGCCTTTCAAGTCAGTGTATTTGGGGAAGCACCATTTGGAGTGCTGTTGAAGAATATAAATGGAATTGAAGTACCTGGTTCAATTCTTATGATATACTTCATTTACCCACATGTTCTTTTGGTGGGACATTTTTGGGATGCATTGAAGAGGATTTCTTCCTCTGCCTTCTTGTCTTTGAGGCCTTTTTTTTGTACAGGTAAATATTCTAAGCTTATTGAAGTTATCAGAAGTGGAAAAAAACACTTTTGCAGCAGGTGGTATCATAGCTACTGCTTGCTTCCATCAGTATGTCATTCTGACACTGGCTTTTGACTTTTTAAGCCCATGGAGGACTTTGACAATAGTCCGTGGATGTGGAGTCTACACTAATATCAGAATTAAACTTTTCAGCTTCTGAATTTTGTGTGTTGCTATCTTATATATGCAAATTTGAGGATACAGATGTGCAGAATACAGCTTGATAGCTTAATCTTTTGCTTTATTTTGCCTATACAATAATGATTTGAGCAGCTGTGTGCTTACAGTCACTGCAGACCTATAATGATAGCCTGAGGCACCAGAAATATTTTAGTGACTTAACAATAAAACCTGTTATCAGTGTTTGTCGTACTTCAAAGTATTTGTCACTGTGCTTTGTTAAAGCAGTGAAAAATTCTGAAGAATATATAATGCTTCATAATGCAGTAGACTAGGAAAAGGTAAAGATTTAGAAGTATTTCTGCTGTCATAATAATACAGTCAAGTTAACAGCCTGCCACTTTTCCTTAATGTTTCCTCTTAAAAACTAAGTCTTTGAACAATTTATTAATTTAAAAGTTGTGTTCTTTAATATTTCTGTAATTAAATTCCTGTAGGGAATATTATCACTTGCTGCATTAATTGTTTTGATATATGTTGTGAAACAGCAGCAATTAAGATTTTTTTTTAATAGCTTTGACAGATTATCAGAAGATAAACGATCTGCAGTTAAGAAATGGAATCCTTTCAGCAGGTTTTAAAAAACTTATTGAAGAATCTCCTGTCATTTCTAAGACTCTCCCATAAGCAATATCCTAAATAATTTTAATTAGTGTAAAACAGTAAATATTTTATCTTTGGGTTTTTTTTTTCCTGTGGGTGTGTCACTTGCTTTTCTTTATATAATTTTGTTTTCTTGAGCTATTGATTCAACTCTTACGAATTCATTTTGCAAGAAAGAAAAATTTCAAGTTTGTAGTTTTTTTTTTGAGGGATGGGGAGGGAGCAGCTTTGCAAGTATGTGTGTGGAAGAGAAAGATTTTGTGCTCACAGTAAATTACAGCTATAGGAGAATTTAAAACTACCCTGGCTGCTTTGGGCTTGTATAACAGTGCCTCATTTTAGTGATATTGTTTATCAAAAATCTTGCTGTAGATTTCACATTGAAAAAATAAATCTCCTTAAAGCTTTTTTTTTTTTTTTTTTTTTTCCCTATAAAGGGATCTTTCTCTTTGTGAAGATATGGGAAAGTGAAATATTTGAAATGACATGCTGTACCCAGTACTGGTTTATGCTAAAACTTTGGTCTGTTTCATAAAATGTACTACACTTACTGAGAGAGCTGAAATTGCCTTGGAGACAACATGAAGAATCTGTTGTGCCTTGAAAAAACCGCCTGCAAAAGCCTGTTTTCTGTGACTGCTGGCTCAGACAATTCCAGGCTCTCTCTTTAGACATACAAAACTGAACAATTTTAAATCATAGATGCTTCTATTTTAATGGTTTTTGGGCAGAATGGCTTGCTACAGGAGAAAAGTATGGTAGTCTGCTTTTACATTGTTTTCAGGCAGTTGGGGTTTGTGTGCAAGAAAGACCAGTACAAAATTCTTTCATGTGTAGACTTTTTGATGTTTTCTCAACATTTGATTATATTTTTCACTTTTATGCATATATCCATTTGTGGATAGAGAGAGGGGGGAAGACTGCTCGAGTTGTAGAAATGGCTAGAGGATTATATGGCCAATTCTGCTTCTGCTGATCTCAAAATACATTATGGATGAAGTATATTCTAATCTTCTGGCAAAGAGATAGGTTTCTGGAAGAAATATATACATTTTTCAGAATGTATGTTTCATTCAGAAAAATAAAAATGCTGTCTGTGGCCAAGCATCATATAGGCAAATATTGTATCACTAGCAAGAAGATTCTAACCTTTTGTTTCAATCCTCTAAAAGGAGTTTGAATCCCTTCAATCATCAATACAGTTTTCAGCATAGCAAACAAGGCTGCTGGCCATTCAGATGGTACTAGCTTCACTGATTCTTAGTTTTTAGAGGGCTGTATCACTTCCAGAGTTGTTTAAAATATACATAGTTTAAGTCTTAATCAGTGAGAAACTCAGTGCATGAACTTTGATGTTGGAAATATTATTCTGTAAATTTTTTAAATAAATGCAGTAATCGGAAATGAGACATTCAGTCAAAATATAATTAAGTTTCTGAAAGTTGGAAAAGTTGGAAAGTTTCTATTAAGGTAATATAATAGTAAATATGTATTTTTATTTGTAAATGGAGTAACATTTACTACGTTCAAGGGAAGTGTTGGTTCTTACAGTAGGACCAGCATGCCATTCCTTTTGGGTTTAACTAGTTTTTCTGTGAAATAAAAGATCTAGGACTATTTTTTACTTTCTAGAAAAATCTCACAAGGCTGATTGTAGAAGAATGATAAAATATTTTGAAGAATAAGGTTAAGAACTCTGTTATGTGCCTATTCTTTACAATTTTGAAATCTTTTCAAAGACCTCCTGCCTTTGAGAGCTTGTAAATATTCTGTAAACCTATTTATTCTGTTTGTTTACTAATGGCATGGAATCACTTTATTGTTTGCTAACTCTTGACAAAATTAATCTCAGCTGCACAATGGAGACAATAAATTGAATATGCCTGCATATTCAAGAAGAGTATCAAGAATGTTGAGGAGCCTCTTAAAATGTTACCCTTGGGCTATAGCAGTCAAAGCTGAAGGCCCAACTTTTATTTTTGCCCACTTTAAATAGTGTACAATAGATTGGTTTTCATAACTAAAATTGGACAATTGTAATTAACAATATTAACTTGCTAATCAAGACAAGCCTACAACCCTGCTACTGATTATTTTTTCTGGCTGCTAGGCCATGATTTTGGATCCAACTGATCTGGTTGCCAGCTGCTTCTGGCATGTGGAGTGCTGGCACAGAAAGCTGCTGTGGTGTTGCAGAGTGCTGAAGGTTTATGTTTATGCTCTATCTTTATATAGAGTAACTGCCTGCCTGGGAAGAATGTGTACCAATGCATGTAATTTAGCTTCCATTAAAATACTTTTTTTTAAAGGCTGTTGGGGAAACACAGGTTCTCTGCCTTTGGTGGTTGCAGATTAGTGTGCTTAGTTAAATGCGTTACAACCTCTGCAAGTTGAGTTGGAAGGGCATTTTAAGTCATGTATGTAGTATTTTTTTCTGTCAAACATCAATGAAAAAATTAGTGCAGCCTTTTGGCATAAATATTCAAGGACAAGAAATTGAGTTGGAAAGCAGATAGATTAGGTATTTGCTTCTGCAAAGTCCATTTCCTAATTAGGAAGAACTAAGCGAAGAAAACCCAAAAATGGTAGACTTCTGAATCCAGGTAGTATCGCTATAGAAGTTTTAACTTTTGAAACCTGCAGTGCAAATTAACATCTCTTCAGCCATAGAAATTTCTCTCTTTGCTGCTGTTAGCGTTTCCTCTCAGCTGAAGTTGATGTGCGTATGCAGCATCTGATGCAAAGGTTCTAAAGCTGTTCTTTGCATAAATACTTAACAGGCTTGTGAAGTGATGCATGGATTTGGCAATAAGCAATCCAACTGGGAGAAAACAAGAACAAAAAACATCGTAAGGCTGAGGATTAAAGCTGACAGAACAAATTCTTGTTGAATAATTGTTTTACCTTATCACGAAAGCATTTCTGAACACCCAAGTTTGATAGCTAAGTAATTCAGCAATATCTTCCAATGTCAGACCCTGTCAGATTAAAATGGTTTAGAGTTTCCAGAAAATTTCCAGACTCCAGCATTCTGTCAGTTTGTAAAGACATTATTTCCTTACCTTGAAGAAATAGTCAACAGTAATCAGGACCTCAGGGGGCAGAAATAATCAGGTTTTCAAATGCTACTATTTGTGCTGGAGCTACAGTCAAAGAGGAGTCCTCTGCTGGATTATACAGTTGTTAGCTGTTGAGTCTTGTGCAGGTACTCCCTTCTAGCGGAAGGAAAAACTAAAAGGCAGAAAATTAAAACATGATTGAAGTAAAGTTACAGTCTGAAATTTAAACTACTCTTAAAATTACTTTTATAATTGTTTAGGATTATTCTAAGGTTTGCTTTTCAGGCATTAATTTGGATTATATGTAAACTTAGTTTTCTTGAGTTATATATTTGGCTGTCTTCTTACTTGAAATCTTATCTGCATATGAAAACTTCTTTGTTCTTTAAAACTTGAAAGTAGATGGATTCCAAAGGGAGATTTACAGGCTATAGGAGTATTGTATTTTAAGTTTGATGTGACAGCAATCACATACTTTTTTTTTTTTAAATTATTTATAAGTTTTAGAATACCTTGCTTTCTATTTTTTTTGTTCATCCTAATGTTCTGCTTTGTCTCTTCATCTCTTACTTTGGTCATGTACTGGCTTTTCTACTTTACCTCAAACTTGTCTCATATATTCCTGTTTGCCTGTTGCCTTATTTCTACCTTTTGGTAGTATAGACCTTGCAGTGTAGGATACCAAAAAGACATTTCTTTAATTACTTTTTGATGGCTTTCTCTTTCAGGATAACATTTTGTCACCTGCCTTTCCAAAGCAAATGGCTGTATGTGGGCACCGAAAGAGGAAACATTCACATTGTCAATGTGGAATCATTTACTCTCTCAGGCTATGTCATCATGTGGAATAAAGCCATTGAACTGTGAGTCTGCCCAAGTTTTGTCTGTGTAGGGGAGGGAACAGCAGTGTCTCAGATGTTAACATCAGTTGCAGGAATATCATTGTTATCTAGAGAGGCCTCCATATTCATCTTACTGCACTACATACACTATCAAACTACATAGTCACGTAGATATTTTTATCTTAAAGAATGTGAAGTGCTAATGTTTGTATGTTTCTGCCTTTTAGCATTATTTTATCATAGTTTCTGGGATAGATGTGGAAATAGACAAAACAGAGAGTATAGAAATAGATGTAGAAATCACTATGTGTGGGGATAAAAGAGAAACAAAAATAATATAGGTTAAAATATGCTGTGGCTGGTACTTGGATAGACATGTCACTTCTACAGTTGGGGATTAAAGACCAAAGTGTAAAGACAATGCATTTTTCAAGAGGGCTGATGTACTCTCAGTCGGGAGTGACTTTCTGAAATTCAAATAAATTTAAAATTTAAATTTTGGCAAATTTAAACAAGTCTGTTTCAAGAGCAAAATACGTTTTATAGCTATTGTCACTGCATCTCCTTTTTTTAATGTTAGGATTGTATGTACAAATACAGTGGTTTGTGGGGGAAAGATGAAGTTGTTGCTGCACTTCCTGTGCTGGTGTTTTGTTCCCAGTATGTCTTCTTTCAAAAATAGATGAAGTCCATCACTTGCCAAAGGGTATTGAGGCAAACACAGCTCTTTATTAGCCCATCTTCTTCAATGCAAGAAGTCCAAATAAAGTGTTAATTCTGTGTTATTGTAACAATTGCCATCTTTGCCATTGTTTATGAATAATGGCAAAACCTGTATTCCAGTATAAAGGTAAACATTTTATCCTATGGTAATCCTATGGTTTATTGATAGGCAGTAAAATAATTTTTCCTTAAGACTAAGTGTCTACAAACAGACATGGTATTTATGGGCTTGAAAATAAAATTAAAGTAACTCCATTTTGGAATGCCACAACTTGCTTATTACATGAGTCTGTATCTGCAGAATCTGTATTATTTCCAGTCATTGTGAGATACATTTAGGGTAGGGGACAATTTTTTTTTAATGGAAACATTTCTTTTTCAGGTCATCCAAATCTCACCCAGGACCTGTTGTCCACATTAGTGACAATCCAATGGATGAAGGAAAGGTAGGCTATTTTAAAAACTCTTCAGTATGTTATTTTCAAGCAAGATTTGTTTAAAATATAAGTCTTAAAGTTTAAAATACAGCTGCTATTTAAGGAATGTTTGAGTATATGAGGACAACAAAGGTTTTAGGCCCTGAAATAATACAAAGCAAGGTACAGACATGACTGTAGGACACATTACCGGAATTAATCATCATATAATCAGAAACATGTGAAAACGCAGATGAACATGATTAGCTGCAAGACTTTTGGAAATAAAAGCAAAGAATTTTACTTATGGTGATAAAAATTAAGATATTACCAAAAAAAAAATACAACACCAATCATAACTAGAGTGCTGAAAGTGTGATGGAAATTACTTCCACTTTTTCATGCTCTTGGGTGTTATTTTACAACTCTAAACTGCTTATTTATATAGCATATTTATATAGAATACCATGTATTTTGTCTTTAGATTGACTAATCTGAGACAAGGTTTTATGGAATTTGACATCTAACTCATATTCCCATATTAGGCCACTTATTATAATCACTAGGTGCTCTTTGCTAATGAAACTGGCCTACAGAACAATGAGATATTCCAGGAAAGGAAACCAAAATATGTGAGAAGTATCTGTGTATTAGACTTGTATTTTCATTCTTATGAGACAATATTGACATAATCATCTGACATAATCATCTTGGCAAGAAGTTTTACATAAACTACATGGTCCTGAAGCCCTTGCAAGACAGGAGTCCTTCTCCTGTGACATACCATTTTTCTTACTAGTGTTCTACATATGCAGGAGAAATACATTTTTTTCTACTTTGTGTTTTTCATGTCAGTAGTAGATTAAATTGGAGAGAGGGAATGATCCTATTGTTTTAGCAGTGGTTTGAAAGTTTTAGCTAGTTATCAGCTTGTCTCCTAAACACCTGAGGTTTCAGTCCAGTTCAGTACAAGTGATTAATTTATTTTGATGTATTCCACCCCACATCTAATTATTGTCAATTAAAGTTTAAAAGTTACTGTTTTTATTCATCAGTGTATCAATCAGTGTTTTGAAATCTGACCTTGTGCTTTTCTTATTTCTCATAAGAAAAGCAGTACTAAAAAAACACTGTGTAGTTGTAAAAATCCCCCATGTACGCACTTTTAAAATTTGTTCATGCTTTTAGCTTTCTAATCACAGTGGTTTTTCTAATGCTTTAAGTTAAAATAGAGAAATTATAATATATAGCATATGATAGACAAGATAATTAATAATATACATAATGTTCAAGGGAAAAATTGCATAGTCACTTTTACTAGATCAAACATGTCTAATATTTATGGTGTTTTAGTACTGTATAAGCACTGAAAGAGATGAAATATTTTATTTCTAAGCTTGTAGGAGATCTGTTATTTTTGTACTGGAGACAACAGTACACCCTGAAAATCTTAACATGCTGAAAAGACTGTCCAGGCAAAACCTGTAGGTATGGCACTGGATTGTTACTACTGCCTTATGTTGGCCATGGGTTTTTGGTTTGTTTTTTTTTCCATTAAGAGAAGTAGCACTTAAGATAGGAGAGCAAAACACTTAGATAGTCATCAATGTGTTAGACCAGCTATTATGAGCAATTTGAGCCTTCACTCCCTGCAGTAAGGAGGGACTTGCTTCTTGCAAAAAGATTATTTGGGAAATTATCTTCTTTGGTTTATCTAGTTTTCCTCCTATGAACAAATAATGTTT